CGAAACACGTGCCCGGACTACTCGCGGTGCTACCTAGCCCAGCCCGCCTCGTAAGCACTACTGTACGTAAGAGCCTGTCAATATTGCTGTCAAGTTTGCAAACTCATGTCAGGGCCCATTGAAGAAGAGTCACTGAGTTGAAGAAAGCCCGCTGACCATAGGCCGTCTTCGCCACTTACAATCGATGATATTGCTATTACTATGCGTATAACATGCAGTAATAGTAATAGACGAACCATTGAGCCGGTCTTCCCCTTCTACACACCTACCTACATATGTAGTTATGTCACAAATGCTGTGTGTTCTGTGCTGCGTGCTGTACGCTGCTCGGCCGGAATCCCCGTAATGCTGGCTGACGCAGATGATCGTAGTGTTAGTTCGTTAGACCGTCTACACTAGATCCTCAGCAGCTGGTCGCCTCACGCAGACGGAGCTATTACGCCCGCATTGATGATATATACAGGGTATTTCATGTACAATACACACATACATCAATAACTCGCCGTCCACACCAGGGGCAGAGGGGGCCGCCAGGGATATGAAGATGACCTGCACATGGCGTGTCTGGCGTCAATGGAACGCCCGCAGGCTATGTGATGCAGTGCAACATACACCGGGCAAGGAATAGCAGTGTCCATGTACCTAAGAGCAAACTCACACTGTCGGGAACCAGCGTGTTGGATTCGATTCGAACTCTTTGGGGTAGTTGTCTTTCACTGCCAATGCCTAGGACCCGTGCAATAATACATCACAATACACTACGGTTACGTATCTGCCATTACAGCCGGGGGTTTGATGTACGCTTGTCACAAAAGTGATCTTCAGATGCTTGTTTGCGCTTGTTCTCCCTCGTACTCCAAATACCGAGAGCATGGCGTAGGAGCTAGGTTAGGTTCTGGCCTCGGTATTTCATGGAGACGGGGGCTTACTATAAATAAACAAATAAAAGATTCCATGGCCATTGACAGCACTAATAGAGTAATAGCAATCGCCGATTACTAGCATCCCCTCCCCCCAAATGTGCAACAAGGTGAGACCTGTCTTGAATGGACAAGCAGGCTTTCAAAGATGCTCCACCGTGTTCCACTCGATTATGAACCGCCCCTCCCTCTTCAACGACGGGTATGCCTTGTGTGTGAGAAAATGCCTTATGTGAAGAAATAGGTGGAAAGACACATGACGACATATGGTGTATATGTCAAATATTCTCTACTAATGATATACCACTCTTTAGTAGTAGTCCTGTCAGATTATCGACAATAAATAAAATTGCCGGTGATACAAATGCTTCCGGAAGTCTGAGATGAGACTGATGAGTGGTCTCAAACCTACAAAAGTACTGTCCGTTGCGCAATGCCTCACGTTCTCTGACGTCCTAGGTCGGTAATACTATGTAAGCTGTTGAACTCGACTCGCCTCAAAGATAATAGTGAAAGAATGAAAAGGGGGGAGGGTAAGAAGAATAAGAATAAGAATAAGAAGGCTGCGCTACTACAGAATGCTTACTTATTGCTGGCTTCGGCATTAACGATTTACTCTTTACAAACATCGTTCAAACTAAGCCCTACCATTTTTTCAACTGCCAACGCCCAAATACATACTAGGTTGAGACTACCTAGTAGCTAGCTCTTGAGCCCAGCGTACAATACAATTTAGTTTCTATTATACACGCTCTTTCAAGTCCCCCCCTTTTTTCCCGAAGGACGGACAAAGGCGAATATCCTCGAGATATTACGTTGTACTGTAGACTGAACGATATATGGATGTGAATTAGGGGGAGGATGTCGTAAACTCCGGGCAAAAATCATGCTTACGTGAAAAAAGCCTTTATTTGCACATTTACACTTACCCGGTCTGATTTGGCGTACGTATGTACATAAAATAGAGTACAGCCGACATGGTGAAATGCATGCCATCATCTCATGACTGAGTCAAAAGTTACGTGTGCTTGTTGGAATATGTTACCCTACCCATGGAAATTCAATGCTCCTAAAACTTGCGTGCTTGCGGAACATGACAGCTGTTGTCCTTGTTTTATGAAGCAGGACATGATGATGAATCAATATGTAGCCGATACCTATGAATTGCCTCCCTTTCTCATACACTCCATGGTTCGCCTGTCAATCTTGACTTGCCTGTGGCCGTCTTCAAATCAGCATCCTACGATTTTTTTTTTAACCTTTCTCGTAAATCACAACTCGTACTTTGTAAAGAGGTAGGTCAGACGACTCTTTTAATTTACTCCACCGTCATAGAGATATATCCAGTAATAAACCTTGCCGGATACGAAATATGTAAATATTCGGAGTCATATTATTTTGGTATGACAATAACCACACCCTTTATACTCTTCAGCCCGGCATCAAGCAGCCTTCCTTCTAAGCAAATTGTAGATAGATGAGGACCATAAGTTCTGATACTGATATGACCTTGACTCTTGTGTGGTAGAGTATATAAATAACTTTAAGATAAAAACAGATGTAGAGCAGAGTTGGCTCCAAATTTTGTTAATATTCTCGATATAAATTGATGATGAGGCATGCAACTACGTACCTCCTAAGTACCTACATAATACAATAACAAAAGGCACTACTACGGCATAGTACCTATGATAGTACTATCAATGTATGTATGTATGTAAGTCGATATGTATGAAAGAACTAAGGTTATTAGCTCGGGATACACTTGAGGATAATTCGGATAATTCTTATCACATGAGAAATCTGGTGACACTAATTGTACGGTCGAATAAGAAGTCGAGCACAGTGCCGAATTTGGTAGATACCTGATTCGGCTCTGTGGACCCCCCTGGTCTTACTGTAGGTAAGTAGCAAGGTACCTAGCAGGGTGGGTAGGTGCTAGTTACAATGTACTTGTATGTATGGATGTATGCTTTGCTGGTAGTTCAGCAGATGGCAGGTGGCAGGTGGCAGACTGGCAGCTACATAAGGTACCTACACTACTATGCAGTACTTACATACATAGTAGTAGACTCGATGTGGGGCATTTCCAGATGAGCCGTGCATCCAACCAGCAGATCACTCAGACCGCACGGAGCATGTAACGAAAGAACCCATACGGGCTAGCTGGCCAGTGGGACCCAAACGTCTTGCGGAAATTTCTGCACCGTTATTTTAGGACCTTCCAAGGTTCCCTGTCTGCATTCCCCCCTTCGGTAAGCCATATCCTCCTTTGGGACATCTGATTGGCTAACCACTCTAAGTAACCTCTGTAAAATGCAGTAAGAGCTATTCTCCAAATTCAGCAAGCTGCACATACATTCCCCACATGTGCACCTAGGGTATGTACCTAGTAGTGTAGTGTAGGTACACTAGGTACTCTGTACACACAATGCCTTAGTTCAATTATGTAGTGCAATAGATAGTATTCGGTACATATGCAGACTCGATTCTTGATTGCTCGGTCTTATTAGTTCGTAGGTACCTGGTACTACCAAGTCGCAGACCGATATATCAACATTGAACATTGATCATTGGATGTGCATGTGTGTTTTTCGAGCAGCCAGAACGACCAGCCTTAAGTAAGCTCTTACATGCCTACGACGTATGTACGTAAGTGCGTGTCTACTACGTGCCTACATGCCTACATTGCCTACGTAACTAGGCTTTTTGCCTTGCGCCTTCGAGGAGAAGGAAGTATCCCAAGTGGACAACCAAGCAATTCATCCCATCGCGTTCGTGATGCACATATCTTCATCTCGGCGTACCAGCTACACGACCTCACGCATTTTAGTCGACCTAACGTTAGTCCACCGAACGTTGTCGCGACTTGGTTGAAGTGGTATTACTAGTACTAGCTCTGCACTAAAGCACAGAGACAGCTAGTTCGTCCGAGGACCAGGTATGTGATTGGCTTGATTTAAAAAACTACCTCCACGATCAGATAGAGCTAGCAAGGGGCCTGTTAACGTCAAATGAGGCCGGGGGTGTGGGAGCAGGGGCAGCAGGGGCAGTAGGGGAAGCAGGGGGGGAGGGATTTGAGGGGACTGGGAGGAGCCTGCACAAAGTTGCTTTGGCTCCAGGGCTGCTGCTGCTTTGGCTTGCTTGGACTTGCTTTGGCTGCTTCTCCCATCAAAAAGGACGCGAAGGAAAGAGGAGTGGCAGAGTGGCAGAGTGGCAGAAGTGGGAAATCACGACCCGCCACCTGGTAGTTCCAAGTGGACCACTTAGCTAACGGTCCTGTGTCCTGTTCCCACGCCCCCGCAGCTTCTGGCTGTTTTTTCTTTTAAACTGTGCGGCCATGGCCACGCAAAAGCCCGTGTGCTACCACCTCGCTATCCTCTTTTCAACCATCCCGCATTCACCTTTCCTGATCAATCAATCAATCGAGTTTGATACTGACAACGTTTTGATCTCATCTTTCTCACAGGGGAAGTCTAACTCCCAAAGCGTACCGTTTGACAATCGCCCAGACTCCCTTTTGAGAACTACCTCGAATTTATTTTCCCTTCTGAAGCAAGAGGATAAAAATAAAATAAAGTAAAGAAAAAAGAGGGAAAAGCACCGACCATCAATCACAATAACGACAACTGCCAATCTTTTCGAGGTTCGCGCTGCCAATTGACTTTTTTTATTATTTTTTATTTTCATTTTCATTTTCAATTGTTCAATGTACCTTTTTTATTTTTTTTTTTCCTTCATGTATTTTAAATTTATTATTATACCAACATTTCTTGTTTTGGACAATTGACTAACATTCCCACCTACCCTTCCAGGCAAACAACGCCAAAAACTGACCGAACCCAAACTTACATGTCGACAAGAATCGACAAATCCATAACTATCTACATACACTAAACTACATGCCTTCCGACCGGTGCATACCTGCTTACCTGACCTGACTCTACCTATCTATCTACCTACCTATCTACCTATCTATCTACCTAGCACCTACCTACCTACCTACCTACCTACCTACCTACCTACCTACCTACCTACCTATACACACTAGGTACCTTACCCACTGTGGTAGTTGAGAATTCTACAGATAGACAGACAGTCTAAAAAAAGCCAAAAGCCAAACAAAGCTGTCTACCTTACCTTTTCTCACTATTCCCATTTTTATTTTTATTAAACCTTATTTTCCTCTTCCTCTCCATTTTTTCTTCTTTTTTACTTTTTTATTTTTCCCCCTCTTACCCAAGTGAGGAAAGAAGAAGAAAAATAAATAAGGTACTTACCCAATTTCAACACCTGCAACCCGCTGGAATTTTGTCGGCGCTTTATCCTCCCACTTTATTCCGCTCGGCGTCTTCTGCGTTCCGCGCACCAGACCAGACTCGATACAGCAGGCGCCCCAACCAGGTTCTGCGACAGAATTTACAGCCTACTACAACCCAGAGCCTCTCCGCTCAACGCCAGATCAAGTATAGGTCGTCGGCACCACGACCAAAACAGTATCTCCACCAAATTTGCCTTTTTCGTTCGTGATACAATCGTCGTACCTTGAAAAAAAATTGAAATCCAAAAAAATGGCCGACATCACAGACCAACACGATCAAACCTCGCCTACCGAACTTGATGAATCTCATGTCGGAAATGGCAATGCCGGGCCTGCAGAGAACCGTGGCATAAAGCGCCAACGCGCCAGCATTGCCGATGACGATGATGATGATGATGAGAAGGGTGGTCGCGAGCGTCGCAAAATTGAGATCAAGTTTATTAGTGATAAGTCGCGTCGCCACATCACCTTCTCGAAGCGCAAGGCTGGTATTATGAAGAAGGTAAGTTGTTTATGACACAGCCATCGATTTTAGGCCCCGAATAGGCCAGCCATCGCGTTAAACGCGTTACTGAATCCGATTTTTGAGTTTACCACGATACCAAATTGGTGCTGACGCTTCGTCTAATTAGGCATACGAACTTTCCGTTCTTACCGGTACCCAAGTTCTATTACTAGTCGTGTCCGAGACTGGACTGGTGTATACCTTCACCACCCCCAAGCTACAGCCTCTGGTCACCAAGGCCGAGGGCAAGAATCTGATCCAGGTGCGTATTTCGCATGCAGAAACTATCAAATACAAGATGAAAACTAGTACTGACCTGTTCTCTCTAGGCCTGTCTGAACGCCCCTGAGCCTTCCCAAGGGAACGAGAATGGAATTGATGACTCCAACCACGTTGAGTCGCCTGAGGAGCCCCCTAACTCACACCTACCTCCTCAAACAAGCCGACCTGGAATGCCATCGCATATGCCGCCAAACTACGTAAACCCCGTATTGGACCCGTCATCTGCTATCGCGTACCAAAACTACATGCACCAACACCAACAACAACAGCAACGTCCGCAATTTGGCATGCCGTCACAGGCTGGTATGCCACAGCACACCTCACATCAATCTTGATCGTTGCCACTTCGGCTACGACATTGCCTTGCGCCTGATACCCCGAATTTAATGCATTCATGAGGTTCTCTTTTTTTTATTTATTCGAGGCATTCCTAACACAAGACTATAATTGCAAGGCTTCGGTGGTCCGGCGTTGTTGGGTCATCGTGACTTATCCTTTTCTCCTTTTTCCCGATCTGCGCAGTGAGGCCATCTTCTCTACTACAATCCTAGTTTCGTCCATCTTTCATATCATAACATTTTTCGCTGGTTGAAGTGGCAACCCAGCGATTCGGTGATTCCAACTTGAGTTCTAAGTATCCAATAATTTTCATCGCATCTCGAAGACGGGAAATATAGTTCCGCTGAGTGGGCGATTCGGTTCTCGATATCTCGCTTTATTTCTATATCCAACTGACGCAGACGATGCTCATCCACTATCTCAATTTTAAAACAATGGTTAGGGAGCCTGTGCCAATGCGATGCGTTGATACTGCATCCCTTCTCCGCGGAGGGTTTCGACAACTCCAAAAGCTTTCCTCTTGGTGGTCTGCTCAAGGCATATGGAGGGAGGAAGAAGTGGACCCATAATTAGAGTGGATAGCATTTCATCGAGGTCGCCAGTTGTCGAAAAGGATCTAGGTCGAGATTTCACCCCGCGTCCGCATGGGCACAACTCTTCCTCGAACTGGATTAATCGCTCCTAGGTTTAGCAAAGGAGATGCTGAGAATGATTTACGAATCATGGTTGACGAATACATGAATGAAGCCAATCAATCGAAACCAATAACGTGGTCACTCGAATATTGGGACGAGCATCTCGCAAAGGTCAAACAGACGCCTACCCAATCGAAGTTGAAGCATTCGACGTTATCCTTTTGGCTCCTTCGGTCACAAATTTCTGGCCATTCTGGTGGACGCGTGACTTTGCCCGGGTCATTTTCATAGCTGGTAGCCGGAAACAAGTAGTTCGGAGATCAGTAATATGGCACAAGCACAAGCACACAATTCATTCAATTATGAGAGGCCTGACTTTTATTCCTCGTGAAAGGGATGATAACATTCCGAGTGCACTCTTTTCTATTAAAAAGATAAAAATTAAAAAATAACTTGCCCTTTTCATCCGAAGTAATTAAATATTGAGCCCGACTTTCGGAGGGTTCAAGGGGGAGAGAGATCACGTGAATTTGGGCAAACATCTTTCGGCGCTTGATCCGAGTGTTTCTACGTCCGAGGTCATCCTTTCTACCCTAGGTAGGCCTTGGACTAGGGGATTAGATGGGACAACAGCCAGAAACGAAACGAGCTACTATTACTGTATCCGGGGGTTAAAAAAAGTTTGTACGATAGGAAAATCATTCCCGCAGCAAATCATCCACCCCTAACCCAAGATGTCCAAAAATCTTAGCATATGGTATGTATGGTAATTGAGTTTTTTTAACATTGAGACTTCTTGCCTCGTGGCTTTCAACTTACACACACTTCTTACACGCTCACTGCATTGCATTGCATGGATGGATGGAAATGTTCGTAGAAGTATGATGTATGTATGTATAGGTTGGTACTGGTTAGTAGGTTAGTGGCCTTGGTTTATGGAACGGTGAGTTGTTCGGTTATAGGGGTCCTGGTAGACTTGGGGGACTCGGTTAGGTATGAGGTGTGAGGTGTGAGGTATGAGGTGTGAGGTATGAGGTGTGAGGTGTGATTGATGATTGATTCATTTGCAGCACGAGGACGCGTCTTCGGGCTACCTACGTGATACTTTTCGTACCATACCGGACTACATACAACGTATGTACAGTACCCAAGGTGCCTTACCTACCTAGGTATTCATCTAAGGTTAGGCTGGTTAGTAATTGAGTAGGTAGGCAGGCAGGCAAGTAGGTACCTACGCGACGATACATGGTACACGGTACACGGTAGCTATCTGAAATGTCACGCTCGGAGGTGATGTGTAGGAAGTAAGGAAAGGAACTGGACCTTTTTCTTTTCGTTTCTGTCCGTGTCTCGTCTCTCCTTGTGTGTGTGTGTGTGTGTGTGTGTGTGTGTGTGTGTGTTGCCTAGTGTCTTCTGTGCCTGTGCCTGTGCCTGTGTCTGTGATCGGGTCGTTGTGGTGGTTGGTGATGGTTGATAGTTGGTAAATTGGTGATGGTTTTATAGTATGTTGAGGAAATTCGGCTTTTTTTTTTTTTTTTGGCAGGTGGAAATTTTTTTTTAGGGTGTTGTTTTATTTTACATTCATGTTGTTGCTGAGTTAGGTTGGCTCTATAACAGCATTAGTAGGTATTTATTTGTTTGGTGTTGGTGTAGGGAGATTAAGGGGTAAGGGGTAGAGGGTAAGGAGTCGGTTGGCAGGTAGCTAGGTTTTTGTTCGGGACCTGGGGGGTAGGTATGATACTTGTGTATGAGAGGGTCGATGGCTGTGGGAGCTAATACGATTGCTGGCTGCTGTTCTTCTTTGTTGGTATTATACCTTCATACTGTTGGTAGGGCGGGGTGGTTGGCTTGGCATATGTTAGGCCCCTATCTGGAGAAGTTGTGCTGTTCTTTGTGCGTGTAAGTTGTACGTGTATGCTCATCGATACGCTCACTCAAGTCGGGCCAGTAGATAGATACATGTAGGTAGACGGGCACGCAGGTAGGACAACTACCTACTTTCGAAGCTCTAGAACGAGGAGGGACATCAGATAACCCCCTAACCTTGGTAAACCACTTTCCGAAGACCTGCGATGCAGCAGGCTCTGGGAAAATGAAATATCAGGCTTGACTCCCGTCCATGGTCACCCAGTCAGTCATGCCTTGGCAGGCCGAATTAGAAGAAAAGGAATGTTGCATAGGTATTGTTGATGCCGTCGGCTGGCGAGCCATGAGACTATCTGTCGTGAGAGTACATCTCAACTCGCCGGAGGGGGAGCACTTTGTCCACTTCTGTACTTTCCTAGACCGCCTAGATGATAGCCGTGTGGCTAGGTAGTATTCGATTCTAGCGAGCTTCTGACGAGTCTTGATTTGAGTTGAATAGGGGCTAGGTACTTACCGATCTAAGTGTCGTCGAATGCGATTCTTTCGATACCTACCTAATAATCGTTACACAAACAGGCCCCCACCCTTCCTTCCTTCCCCCTTTTCTCTCCCCTGCTGATTGTACTAGGTACTTCAATTTGCCTAACACCTTGAAAGCCGTGTCTCCCATTCCTTGGTATGGTATCGTATATCTCCCATGACTAGATACAGAGAGGTCATAGATAGATAGGACCTTTCGTGAACTGTCTATCCTATGTCGAATCAAATAGCCCAGGCACCCTTTAACCAAGAAATTTAGACGAAACGTGCCCCCCCCTTTTCCACCTTTTGTCGTAGTTCTTCTATATACATGGCCCTTTCTTTCCCTCTTCATTGGGCCATGCTCACTCACGCACATACCTAGAAGCCCAAGTACGCAAGCCGTAGCGGGGAGAGTGTCTTTTAATAAAACCCCTTTTATCTCTAGGTAGCATAGGGCGTTTCATTGACCTATGGGATAGGAACACTCAGTATCTATCTCCATATTAGGTATGGAGTTATATAGAATAACACTATCAGCACTACCTATGTAAGCAATAAGCTCGCCAGATCTAGCCTTATGTGACTGCTATCAAGGAGCTAACTATAGCGGTAATGATTTACCATGAACATGGTAAGGCCAACCCAATTACACGTGGGAAAAAGCCCACCCCGCAACGACTCTAGTTCTCCATCGAATCCCCCCTGACCCAGAGCCCCGGACGGCAAACTACGTAGCAGTAGTAGTAGCAAAGACCACCCCCCCAAAGGATCCATGAAGCCTTGATGAAGGGGACGTGGAGGTGACTGGCGGGGGTATATGAATGCTCTTTTACTATATTGAGCAGTTTTGAGAAGGTTTTCTGAATGGTAGGCATGCTTCTACTGCGGTTACTTACTCCTATAGCGGGTTTCGACGTCTTCACGATTATAAGCAGATAAATTTTCAAAAGTAGAGATCAAGCAATCTGACATCATAATGACCTTTAATTTCTCCGTAAACAGGATGCGATTCTTGAAGAGCATCAACTCGTTCCAAGTACAATTGCATGATTGGTTGTTTCCTTGTCCGTAACGCCGGGCTCAAATCGTAATGACAATAACAGCATAACCCCTCCCCCCTTGGCCTTTACAGGCTGATATCAACAGCCTAGAACCGAATGGATACCATATCCACTGCTCTAAAACGACCAAGACAGTACTTTTACCGTTGTATTATAGATTGAAAATTTAATGTATGTCGTCTTGGCGACATGTGAGTCGGCAATCCCATCCTCTCCAGCCATTATTCCTCTCAGTGCTCCGCGCTGTAGAAGCGGCCGACAAGCAGGCTGCCTAGGAAAGTACCGCCGAGGACTGCGATAAAGTAGCCGATATTCATCGTCATAACCGCCAACATCCTAACCTTTTGTTAGCGCATGGTTATTTTCTTAGATAGTAGGTCTAGGCAAGTATATGACTCACAGAAGATAGCCAATACCGGCAATGCAGGTATCCAGCACTGCGCGTAAGGGGTCAACCGACATTCTCCATGGACGTAGATGGGTTTTCTTTTTCTGGACCACGACGACGTCTTCTTCGATACCATTCTCTGTAAGAGTCATCTTCTTGCTGAGGCTGTCGGTCGACACTTGTTCTGCGATAGGAAGCTTGCCCTGTACCACGACATATCTGCGCTTCATCTCGATATCGAGCCAGCGCTCCTCTGCGAGTGCCTTGCCTGCAAGGAGAAGTCGAAAGATGATACCGAGGACGAGTAAGAATATAATAGTACCAGCGTAGGCGCCTGTGGAGTTTGGTGTCCAAGAATCGGAATAGAGTGGGGTGGATTTGCTGTTCTGGAAGACTGTATGCATATCCGAAGACATATCCATGCCATCCATACTCATACCTGCCATGTGCTCGTGGCCGTGGCGTGGTTCCAACATGGTTGTAACAGCTTTGTTAGATGCCGAAGATGTGATGGATGAGTAAAGTGAAGTGAGTGGTATAAGGTAGTAGGTAGCGCAGTTGTTCTAATGTGACGGGCTTATCAACTAAGTAGCTTGAAAAGTTGACGAAATATGAGAGAATATTGTTGTTGATGTTCAGAATTCCAGCTGACTAACAGATATGCAGGATCATAAAACAGTGAATCGTGGGATGTAGAAGTGAAACCTTTAGAGGAAGGGAAGGGATCAAAGTAGGTAGCAAGGGAGAGCCTGAGATTTGCACACGAATGATGGGTTGGAGTGGAATGGCCACCCCTCTTGGAAGAACAATAGGACGTGAGAACAAACAAAAAAAGTTTTATGTCAACGTCAAGTCGTAAGTGAAGGGAAGATTGAAAGAAAGAAAGTTAAGAGTGTAGAAAAGTTGATGGGTGGGTTCAAGTTTCTTTTCTTTATGAAATGTTTGAAGTGACCAGTCTGGTTACGTGGTACATGATTAACACGGGTTACATGAGTACCTGCCTTTACGGCCCTAAAAGGGGAGGGGACAAGTTCGCAATTGCCTAAGGTTAGTTAGTTAGTATTATACCTAATCAGAGGAAGGTGCCTCTTTCTCTTTCTGATTATCATGCTCAAATACCCTCTCTGTACCTTCTCTGTACCCTCTCTGTGCTATCTGTACCCTACCTAGTATCTGTCTGACCATCTCGGTGCCAAGCCGGATTAAGTAGTATGATGCTTCATTTAGACGTACAGGTACCACATCCACCACATCCATCACATCCATCACATCATACCCTTCACTTCGTGAACCTTGTCTGCGCTTCCAAGGCATGTAATCAATACTCATCTCATAGATAAGAACTTGGGGCAATGGAATATTGGCTCCCTCATGTTCTGACTGAGCACTATTACCAGGACGAGTACAACTCCATCGGGGTGTCTTTGGTGATGATCTGCACTCAGACTCCGTTTAGTGGTCGGCTGCTCATAGATCTCTATCGATTGTCTAAAATCGACACGCATCGCATAACAATGACCAGATATTGATCTCCAGAATAACTCAATGATACCCACGCTATTCCTGAAGACGAACACTGGTGTATAAGGGGTTTCTGGAATTGGTGCCTCCTGGACAGTATGACGGTTGCAATATTGGCTCTAGACGAAGCTGTCTGCCATCCACTACCTATATTGTATTGGTTTCTGCCATCAGCTTACTAACCTATATGATAGGGAAAGATACCTAGGTAGCTAGGCATGTTTCCTCGCGGAGTTGGAATGAGGGCATCTTCAACCTTATCGATTACCCCCGCACTGTGTGTGTTGCCTGTCGTACCGGGACCATATGTGGCTAGAAGGGCTGGCAAATGTGGCTCGTGTGCCATTTTCATGTCACCACAAACAAACGACAGCAACTAATTACCAACAACATGTGAAAATGATGGCATGTAATCCTCATAATCGAATCTTTTTACTGTCCGTTATGACGCTTCGACATACTGGAATTCTCTGACTAGGAATTTCCGAACTTCCGCCCGCCTACATCTCCAGCATTTCCTATGCCAGAACACACTCGGGTATTTCCTCGAGCCACGTCTGCAAGACTCCATCGCGGACGTAAAACAATTGCAAGTCGCTGACCTTGCATGTGGCAATGGCATCGAGCTTTCGCGAGTATTATAGCTGACGTTGGTGTCACGTCACTGTTAGGTATCCGCCGCGCTCTCTCCATTGAAACCAGGTGGTTGGCTACAGTGGGAAGAGACCAAGTCAGACAAATTCCTTGTGCAGTCTCCCTCCCCAGACATCGCAAGCACGGCTTGCGAGACCATTGCTCATATGCTGAAAGCGAGCGGATATGCGAAAAGGTTGGAGCCCCCCATCGTGCCGTCGTTTAATTATTCACGAGTGTGCATTTTACGAGAAGTCCGACCGATTGCGGGGTATTATATACAGGCAGGCCACGGAGGTAATGCCTACCCGATGTTAAGGACCCTATAGATTCTTATAGATTTATGCATTTTACTTTAGGAAGGGTGGTAGTTTGAGGCTTGTGGTTGGCACTTCCAAGCTTTCATGCAATGGCTGGGCCTAGATTAGCTTAGTAAAGAATACGAATAAGAATAAGAACCCCTGGAGGCCTTGACCTTAGCTAGGTAGCGTACTTCGTACTCTGCTATGGGATATCGCGATAAATGCGATAAATGCGACAGATGCGATAAATACCCCTTGGCCCTCCAAAGAATCACATTACCATTCTCGGCGCTGTACATACGCCTTTAAATTGAAAAGGAAACAGTCTCTAGTCAGTCACTACTTACCATACATTAAAAACATCCGCCAGCATGTCGTTCCCAACCAGCATAACGTTCCCAAGCAGCTTGTCATTGCCAAGTAGCATATCACTCCCGAACATAAGAATCCCACCTCTACTTACTACTACCTGCGGTGTCGTTGGCTCCGCTGCCCTGCTTTCCCTGCTGTACAAAACCCTGAAGTTGACGTTTATCTACATCCGACCATCTGGCTTGCACCGCTATGCCCACCCAACACCGGACGGGCAGCCACCCTGGGCCCTGGTCACTGGCGCCTCCGACGGCATCGGCACCGCGTATGCCCACGAGCTTGCCGCCAAGGGCTTCAACGTAGTAATCCACGGCCGCAACCCCGAGAAGCTGCGCCGCGTGCTCTCGCAGCTGCAAGCGGCGTTCCCCCAACGGTCCTTCCGGATCCTCGTCGCGGACGCCAGCACCGTCGCCTGCGTCGTGGGGCACTCGCAGCACGACGGCAGCAAGACGCTGGACTTCGACGCCATCGCGCGCGAGCTCGACGACATCAACCTCACCGTCCTCGTCAACAACGCCGGCGGCGGCGCCACCAACCCGCGCTTCCTGCCCCTGAGCGCCTCGTCCGAGGAGCGCATCACGGGCAACGTCAGCCTCAACGGCCTGTTCCCGCTGCACCTGACGCGCGCGCTGCTGCCGAACCTGACGCGCCACCAGCCCTCGCTCGTCATCAACATGAGCTCGATGGGCGACGGCGGATTCCCGCTCATCGCGGTCTACTCCGCCAGCAAGGCGTTCTTCATGACGGCCACGCGCTGCCTGCGCCTCGAGATGAAGATGGAGGGCCGCGCCGCGGTCGAGATCCTGGGAATCCGGGTCGGCCGCGTCACGGGCGCGAGCGACTGCAAGGAGCCGCCGACGGCTTTCTTGCCGAGCACGCAGACGATGGCGAGGGCCGCGCTCGCGAGGGCGGGCCACGACAACGGCGTCGTCGAGGGGTACTGGGCCCATGCGCTGCAGGAGGTCGCGTCGAGTGTGCTGGCGGCGCTGCCGAGGTGGGTCCAGGATAAGGTGTCGATGGACGTCATGCATAAGATGAGGAGAGCGGAGAGCGAGGAGTTGAAGGAGGCTTGATGAGATGCTGCGATAGGTGGCGTTTTTTTGCTGTTGGTGCTTGCCGCACGGCCTTGCGTATACTATCCCCCATGTAGATTTGGCGTCATCTATGGTATATGATACCAGATTAAGTGGTCTTGAGATCTTTTATTAGTAGTTGTGCTCGGAGGAGAGTGTTTTTTGATACCTATCAGTCCCACTAGTCGCCTAACCTAGTAGACTTTAAGAGCTTAATGCATATATTGCCTTTATTTCAGGTTTATTTCCTCACTTACATCAATTGCATATAAAATCTAAGAAATTATGGCAAGGTATTAGTTCGAGTGGAGAACATCGTGTATTTTTATTCAATTATATGTGACGTATTGGCGTTGTAGTCGCTGAGTGTCACTTAGCCCACATTGGCTCTTTGAGTTTGACGCTCCCTTGATATCAGCCTGTTTTTTAACTTGGCTTGGATAGCACATATGAAAAGAAAATAGCTGGAGGTACGTGATATCTTATATGTATAAGTATTATGTAAATGTTCAAGCTTGAAAACCTAAAAGTAATCAAATCTGGGAATTTACATCTTGCTATCGCTAAGGAGGTCGCTCTCAAATGCATCTACATGAATATCCAGTACCGCAACCGCCCCACAAGCCATTTTTACCCGCTTCGCTTCCGTAATGACAAAAGAATTCAATAAGATTCATATAGTATTCGTGATATGTTTTCTCGGTATACTAGGAAAGCCCAACCAATATCATCTATTTGCTCTCCGCGTTCAGCTCGTAACGCGGATGTTCAAACGAATCAAGTTGGCGAGGAAGTTCTTGGAACGGATCCAGCTCGTAGGTGGGAGGGTGTGGGGGAACCAGCAGCTCTGGATGTGGTTTATCGCGCTCATCGACTCGAGAGGTTTCGTCCGTAGAATTGGCCTGCAGCCGTCGTCTTCGCCGACGCATCAATACGAATACCATCACCCCTATCAGCCCTATGGTTACCAGTCCACACCCAACTCCAATCCCGGCAGCGGCCCCAGCGCTCAGTTTCGGCGAGTCCGTCTCATCTGCTGTGGAAGTCGAGCCTGTCGCTGTAGGTATGCTAGAGCCGCTACCGGTGGACGCTGGTAAATCCGTCGAGCCGGTGATCAGAACATCCCCACTTGCCACATGGACAATCGGTGCATAGGCCCGGACGCAATTACTCGACCATGTTGCGGTAGTCGTTCCGGCGTCGATTCTCGTCGTCGATCCATCTGAGTTGGTCGAGAAGAAAAAGGTGCTGACCGAGAAGGTTTCCCACCCAGTGAAACATGACAAACAGCCAAAGGGATCGTTACCGCGGCTGTCGCGGCATGAATATGAACTATTTTCCCGTGAGGCAACGAGTTAGTAGACTGACTATCTACATCTCCGGAGAAGAACTTCACATGAGTTACCCCTAGGAATCGTTCGTTGGCCATTGTCTAGACCCCGCCTGGGCACTACAGGATATCTACCTAAATAAGGGTTCATCGGCCCTACCTACCTAGGACAGCATGTAGCCACTGTTTCCACAAGTGTACCCGTTGATGGAGATATCTGAGCGTTACAGGCGGTTGTATAGCCCGAGGGACATATTCCAGGTGAGTAATAATAGGGGTCAACAGGTCGAAAATTGGGGGGTAGACAGGCGGACGATGCCGATCCGCCGACGCCGTATTGTATCCACGCATTATCATCAACGAAGCCGGCGAAAGTTGAAGCGCAGTCTGGGCCGCTGGGTGTGAATATCGTGGTGAGCGGCCCGAGATTTGTCATCGTGGAGGTTGTTACTGGCAGAGAACTTTGAAGGAAAATCCTAGGGAAACTCGAGGGAAAAGGACATGCTGTGAATTATTACTGAGTGAAGGGACACAGGACGGTGAGCAGCATGCGTATATTATCGACGGCTGACGAGCCTTTGGTCCACTTGCACAAGTGCCCAAGACACTGTCCCGACTCCCGTGTAACTATGTGTAACTATATACACCGACGGATACTATTTGCCCATTACCTAGTGTAGCGTGTATGTACCTATCTGATAATTAGACAATGCCGTTGGACAAAAATAGACCGTACATAGGTAACCCTGCTTAGCTATGGAACCTTGACACGTATAATAGGTCGCAATTCGCCTTCAAGCGCCAAAGATCCTCCTAGGTAGGCATGCAATACGACCCCTGACCGAGCGTTGGCCAATGAGCGGCGTTACCAACAGAGGTGAATACACCGTCACGATATGACCTATTAGTACTTAGTCTCACAGTTTCTTGGGCTACGTGATCTTAATCTAATCGAGACCCCATGTGGCAGGGTAGCCCTAGTCTATGATCGTGGGCTGTTCTGTCAAACACATCAGGAAGGCTGCCTACTTAGTAATTAGAAAGTCAGCTCGATGTTGGTACTTAACCATTGCCTACCTAGTATGTACTTAAACTATTGTATTATACGTTGGATAAATTTTGAATATATATCCCCGAGGTTCGAACAACGTTTAAAAGAAATAACTCTCGCAAAGTCGTCCTTTTTTCTTTTTGTTTCCTAGACAAATGTGGTAGTAGCACCACTGAAATGATGCGATATCCTCTGATCACAAAGCGTTTCATTTCATGCACTACGGTCACCCTATTTGTTCTCACTTTTCTAACATACCCATCGTCCTTCTCGTTCCGCAACTCACTATCTTGGGTATCATCTGCTGCCACAAGGACAGATACGTGCCAAATATGGCCCGGTTCACACGACTCGGATTCAGAGCAGTCGTCGTATGAGAAATGCTCCGGGAAAGTTAACTTGCCTATGGTGGGGGATTCCTCTGTCTTGGGGGACCCGGAGCGGTGTTCAGTAGCCAGTTCCCGACTCGACCCGTACCAGACATCCCCTGGCCGTAACTGGTCCGAAGTGAAATGGGGTAAGTTTCGGATCTTCTGCACGAGATGCTTGCTTCTGGCTCTGATGAAATCATAAAAGGCCACGTACAAAGACGATGCGCTGCAAGGGAGTATAAGCTGTCACCCCTCGAAAACCAGATACGGCGAATCTGGCACCTCCCCGTGGAGGCGGAGACCGCACTAAGGCTAGAAGGAAGCAAGGGCAGGACTGCGGTCGTGTTAAGGACATGGGATAACTACGAGTACACCGAGAAGAGGCTTGCGTGGCTCCGCGCCCTTATCGCCGAGGCTTCGCTCCAGCGTGCCGGCGCTTACCAAGTATTCCTCCTCGTCAATGTCAAGAACCCCGAAATTCGCCTCGAAGAAGACGTCGCTGCCTATGAACAGGCTCTGCGCGAATTCGTCCCGGAAGAGTTTCGGGACATGGCTATTCTGTTTAACGAGAGGACGCTGGAAGCATGGTATCCCCTGGTGCAAGAACATGGGTTAGTTGAACCTGATTTCTTACCCTACTACCGTGTCCTCGGAACCCCATCCCCCCCCTTAACTCGGCTAACTCACCTTCCCAATCCCTAGAGCACAGGACCAGATGTACCAGGCCCTGCAAATATTCTCCCGCAAATTCAAGCAGTTCGACTACATCTGGCAGCTAGAGATGGACCTGCGCTTCACGGGCCACGTCCACGACACCCTCGAATCCACCGCCACCTTCGCCCGCGCCCAAAGGCGGCGCAACCTCTGGGAGCGCAACGGCCGCTTCTACATCCCCCAGCTCCACGACCACTCTTACGAAAACTTCTCCGCCACCGTCGATGCGGAAATCGGGGACACGGGGATCTGGGGGCCAGCGGCCACTGACGATTTCACACCTTATGAACAGTAAGTCTGTCGCAAGTAATTTCTCCCCCTTTTTTTTCGTTTTGACCTACCCACCTCCCTACCAAAAGCCTCCCTCTCACCTAACCAACCCAGAAACCCACCCCCCCGCACCAAGCTCACCTGGGGCCTCAACTCCGAGCCCGACCTAATCAGCCTGATGCCCATGATCGACCCGATCGGCACAGGCTGGGTATACGAGGACGCGATCCACGGCTTCGCCTCGGGCGCATCCACCCCGCGGCGCGCCGCCATCGTCAGCATCACGCGCTCTTCCCGGCGACTCCTCCGCCTCGTCGACGCGGCGCAGCGCGAGCACGGGCGCTCGGTCGTCAGCGAGGCGACGCTGGAGACGTTCGCGCTGCTGCACGGGCTCAAGGCGGTGGCGGTGCCGCAGCCGATATACTTCGGCGTTAACAACAACAACAATGACAACAACAAGGACGGGGATGGGAAGGGGCAAAGGGGGGAGGAGATGCGCGCGGCGCGGCAGCTTGCCGGGGAGCTCAACAGGGGCCCGCCGCACTCGAGGGCGGGCGGGGCGACGCCGTCGATGTTGTACGCGAAGACGGGGTGGGTGCAGGGCCCCTGGTGGGAGGCGAGCTACTGGTTCACGGGCGGCGGCGCGGAGAAGCTGTGGAAGAAGTATTTGGAGGGGCGGAGGCTACCGCCGATGTTGTTGCATCCTGTTAAGGAGAAGTAACTGCATAGTGGTGTGTGTAGGTTAGGTAGGTAACTGGCTGTGTGTATGTTTGATAGCCTTTGTTTAGGGGTTTAGGGGGGGGTTGGGGGCGGGTCGGGCGTTTGGCTATGGCGTTATTACATAGTTAAAAGGTACCTACATACACGGCTTTACTTCACGGCTTCCTACATTTAGATAGATAAGAGCCGCATTTGAAATGAAAAGATAAGGGGGGCTGCTGCCAGGGGTAACCGGGAGGCGCATGATTCTGCCAATTAGATTTGGCCTAGGGCCTGTTGATTTTCTAGGCGCGAGATGTGCTTGGCCAACTTACCGCCGTAGAATAAAGCCCTGTACCTACTAATGTATCGGTGATAATGTTGGATGACCATTTGCCGATGGACCTAGCGTTTCTGTCGGGCCGGATCGTGTCTAAAAGCGGCTGCTTCCCGAACAAACCTTGGATTGGATACTATCTTCGTATCTTGGTATGGGGAGATCTAGTATGCGGGGAACAACGTCGGTTTATACGATCCGCACCAATGTGCATGTCCAATCGCCCTCACTTATGTCGCTTTCTAAAATTCAATGCTCTATTTAACCAGGGCTATGAGCTACACCGGCAGTGTATACTGTATAATCGCCGACCTGATCAATAAACCAATGCCTTCCTTACCTATCAAACCAGCTCCCAATTCCCAGCAGAACGGATGAGCAAGGATGAATAATCCTGCAATCTTGTTTCTGCGATCCTGTATTGGCTGACGATCACGGCGGCGATACCACGTCGACTTATTTCTTGCATGCTGATGAGAACCAACATGCATAAAAAAGAGGCGGAGAGGATACTTTTGATAGGACGGCGCAGGGTGAGGGTGTGCAGAAGGATTCGATGATCTACATACCTGGCTGTACTTCGTACCCTAAGCTAGCAGGCACAAATTACAATGGGCATACATACTGGGTACGTAACTTCAAACGGCATTCAAGTCAAAAGCCGATATAAATGGGGAAGAGCCTTGTAACCTTCAATGTTATCTTCCAAGTTGCAACTTGAGTCTTGAGGTAAGTACCTAGATACCTGTACCTGGATATCACGTGATCAAAAGGCTGATAGCCAACCCCTATTTGATCCATTACCCCTATTATCACGTTTAAATCAAGGCTTCAATAGGCTCGTCAAACGTAAACGCGACACAATGTGGCACACACACTGCTAAACAGTCCTCTAGCTTAGGTATTACAATAAGCTCGATATCCATAAGGATTAAAATGTGTTGGTACCTATGGTTAGTCCTGGCGCTTTATGGCCAGCACTTAAACTGATAATCGCGGACGAATGATTCGAAATGTTGGACCCTTATGCTAGTATAAACGTGTAATTAAACATATCTTGGAATACCTTTTCGCCTTGGACATAGGACATGTCTCGTGAGGGAGTCTTAGAAACTGACTACCATGCTGCGGGCTACGTTACGAATATTCCTTAAAAACAGTCCTTTTGGCCCCAGTCTATGGTAGGACGAGACGAGACAGATAGAATGTAATACGTACAAGAATTATATTTCGTAATCAAGCCAATAACCTCTCTTAAGATAGCCTTATGTTGTCTCACCTCGCGATAGGACCATCTACAAGGGCTTGTCACCTTCGTTATCGGTATAATAGGATATCGTTGGTAGGATTCTAGCCGTGTATAACCAGCTCTTAGATTTGCCCATCCCTTCTTTACTGTACCGACTATCTCGTTTCATCTATGTTTCGGTTAAAGAGCGGCTGATCGTAAGCTTAGTTAGGCACTGAAGGAGTGATTCAATAAGATGATAGTATTCATACCCAAGGCAGATTCCGGGAAACATCGGTTACTGAATATGGCCTTTTTGACATGCATGCTGCCCATGAGTCCTAGGCTATCCCCACCCACAACATTCTCCTTCGTGCTAGGCCGGGCAAGATTGAGATGCCACGTAACGTCGGATGTAGTCTAAGAAGCCCACAGTAGGCCGCCAGCTAGAAACGGGGACCGGGAGGGTTCACGGAGAAGATTGATCTGGACACCGTAGTCTAGGGATGAATATTTCTCGCAAATTGCCGAGCAATGACCATTATATACTCCCTGTTCAATCGTGGGATGAGTATTTCCGGTCTATTCCCTTCGCAAAGAATATATGCCGATTCCAAAATACTAAGAGGATTCCCATCCTTAAACCAAGCAATCTCTTTGAACCTTGGGATAGCTGCATACCCACCTAGGCTTTGTGTCACTGTTTCGGTGCAATAGAGAGATTTGAGAGTAGTAACATGACACCCGTCTCTCGGCTTACCGTTGGATGACATGGCCGCATCTGGAGAGCTTCCACGAACACGTAACTCAGGTTACTAGGAGTCAACTAAGAGAATATTACAATCCGCAACTCACAAGTCGCTGGTATACCTGTATATCTCAATGCGCAGGTAATTGGAGCACTCAAGCTCGATCACAACTCTCGTGAATACTTTGGTGCTGAGCGGCGCTGACTTTTATTAGCTGCAAAGCAAGTGCCAGACCCGTGAGCATTTCTGTTATCGTCTTCAAGTCACTCACTCTCAGTGTCGGCAAGTGGCATCATAGAAGATATGTAGGGAACATCATATAAACTATGAGTATGTAGGTGGCGAGTCGGTAGATTCTATTAGTTACCAGTTGACCCCTTCAACCATTTAAAAGCCCCAAGACGTAGCCGGAAGAGCCAAGGGGCAAGTTACCTGGGGACTACATGGGGGGCTAGATAGACCAAAGACGGCTTACATGTATAGGTATGTAGCTTCCATAGTCTCCGGGTAGATTTTAGAGATCTCCGCTCAGCAACGATGCTATTTTTCATCCCGCCTCTTGACAGGAAGACTACCATTACCATGTTGCCACCTTTCACCTTTCAAACATTAGGGTCTGACAGATATCTCCTACTTTTCTACAGTAGGTACGTGCATATGAGCAGCGTGAGCATTTACATCATTCAGAGTGTCTCTTCACGTATCTATCTCTATTGCGTTATACTAATAGCTCTTGTCATGGGGATCCCAGGGTATCCAAGTGGTGTGTTGTGAATATACGAACTTTGAAAGATTCCAAACTCCACCTCCGACATATGCGCTCGCAAGAGCGTGTCTCGTGCTGTTGCTTCCGCTATTCAAGTGTTAAGGTGTTTCGATATTCACCCAAGTACACATATGGAGCTATTTTGAAATACTATGGACTTAACACATCAAGGGTTAGATCACCGGGATCTGGTAGACCAGCAGGTTCAAATCTATGAATAGAGTGACCGGGCGTATAACGGGCAAGGGAACATACTCCCTTACGACATAGGCTGGCAGCTATTCGTATGGTAATGCGGCCATCCTCTATTCTCTTATAAGAGTCACTTCGTGAGACAGGGGGGCATATAGGGGGTGAATGAGTTAGTAACTACCTAGCCTGTTCACATCTCTTGCTTCTCTATGATACTGGGTGGGTAGATCTATTCTGAATATCTAGCGCCTTGCTAGCTTTCTGGATATTTTTTATTCTTGTTAAACGATGGTAGTTAGCTGAAGCTACGTACCTAGAACTGCACTGGTTCAAGCTATTGCCCAGCAACTAGGTTACCTAGTTAGCCCCCTATTCACACACGCGATGATTCATATTTGGAGTAACCCATATTCTTGGTGGGCTGTATAGTCTTGTTCGAAGCAGCTGAGTATCTATCTAGATAGGTAAGTATACTAGGTATACATGATTTGCTCAGGGGTATGAACTGCAGGTCGGTGTCCAATTCACCAACTTGTTGAGCATTGACCTACGATTAAAATTACTAGGTATAGCAGACTAACTAGATTGACTCTAACAAGTTTACAATGCGATATGTTATGCTTGAATAGTGTTGGCAGTGTGGGATTACTCGATGTCAATACTGTAAATAGCATGAAGGTTATAAAGCGTAGAAACGTACCTAATCTTAACACCCTAAGGATCAAATAACCCCTCTTTCACATAATAGGTATTTAGTTCAGATACATTTCAAGTAAGGAGGTTGACATGAGCTTTTTTCTACCATAGGATCAACTAAGTACCTGTACCAATGCTCCTCAGCTCTTTATGGCGACATCAACACCAATACTCTGCGTTAGATACTTGGTTTTCACTACTACGTAGTTGTTTTACCCACCAGGACACTTAGTCAGTGTCTACTAGGCGAATCCTGTTGCTATGAAAGAAGATGTGGGGCGGTTCCCTTAATATCTTTCTAAAAGGATGTTAGAGTCAGGTTGTCATTGTCTAAGCTATTGACAAAGCATCTTGAGAGGAGCTGCCACGCCGTAGGCTAGATAGTTCATAGTTAAGGAGTATCCGAATAGACAGCCTGAGGCAATTACATAGATTCACAGGGAGCATATGGATATAATCTAGGAAGGCATACTCTCGTAGCGAAGTCTTTTGCTCTCGAATCCCCATACTTCTAGTTTGAAAGGCCTTTATGCCGTGTAGGGAGGTATCATCTAGGAGCAAATTGTTCGTATGTAATATTGAAAGTTCATGGTCATGCGCCGCCACACCAGCATCCTAGAATCCTACCAACCATGGGCCAGGCCGAACCTCCCCCATTTGGTTCATATCTGGTTTCTGTCGCGATAAGGCCTTCTACTCTCCCACCGATATATTCATATTATCTCATCATGCATGTACTAGATATGACATTGATCCTCTGATAACTCTTCATCGTACCAGATGGCAAGTAATATGAATTGGCGGGAACTATCACAGGCCAGTTATATTTTGTTCGCTAGTTAATGGAGTGTTATCATCATTGTGCATGCTATGTACCATCTCCTGACCGAGGAAGACATATAAATACAATGATTATCGATCTTTGTTAACGAAACATACCAAAAATATACCATGATAATATCAAAGCTTACCCCCTTCCCGCCTTACCGTACCTTGTAACTGTAAATAACAAGTTTAGTGGGTTCTGTTCGGAAGCTTGCCGAAGCCATAAGCAGCCAAACCGTTCTTACGGATGGGCCAGTTTTCCAGATGAGGCTCATCTGTGTTTCCGATAAGATTCTGTGGCTACCTACCCCGGAAATTCATGCGGTGCGCCAATCGAGCTTGGCCTAGAGCCATGGATGAGTCTACCCTACCTTTGGTAGCAGTGTAATCCTTATAGTAACTAAAAAAAAGATATATGCATTTTCCCGTTCTATCAGATGGGAAACTGGAGAGTCAGATAGAGTTATGAGTAAGTAACCCCTTTTCCCCCTTTTCTGATTTTACTCTTTGCCCCTCGTCCCCGCTCCCGTGACTTCATGTCAAGCTATTATTAGTATTTCTAACATATTAGGATATAGATAATAGGAAAACTACCCCTCCTGCAATAATATAGATCCATGTCGTTATTATTCCCGAATGGGTATAACTTTGATGTACCAAGGGGAGCTGAAAATGTTGTAAGAGGGGGGTGGGGGTTGGCTATTAATCCCGACTGGCAAATTGAAGTAGCATTTGCATAGTTGCATACCAAGTACTTACATACACACCAAATAGGTGATAGGATTTGAATGTTCCATAACTTACCTAGTAGTGCCTAAACTTGAAAGC